CTCTTTTTTTTTTTTTTTTCCTTTTCCTCCCCAAAGCCCCAGTAGATAGTTGTGTGTCATAGTTGCACACCCTGCTATTTGCTGTATGTGGGACACCGCCTCAGCATGGCTGGACAAGCAGTGCCGCAGTGCGCGCCCAGGATCTGAACCCAGGCCGCCAGTAGCGGAGCCTGTGCACTTAACCGCTAAGCCACAGGGCCAGCCCCCATGTGTGTTGACTTTTGAACCCTGCAAAGGTATGGACACTGAAATACCTTATATAGTCCTCTGGAAATACTTTTCCCTATGTTCTAAATGTGTTCCCTACTCTAGATAATTTGTTTACTTTGCTTATTGCAGGTTCATGGAAAGTCTTGAGTTGTCAGATGAGACAAATAAAAAATGAATTGAATCCAAATCTTGAGGAATTTATAAAAGCACAGCTTTGTGACATTTGTTTTCCTGCATCAAAAATGAAGACATTATCATATTTAAATAATTACGGTGACCAAGAATAAGTGTTTTCTATGGATTGACCTAGGGAGGCAGCAAGTTTGCCTTCCAGAACACAGACCTTAGTGGACTTGGCAGAAGGTGAATTCTCACTACATATTGAAAGCCTGAATCTAAAAAATACTCGTTGCTCGGGACCCATTCCTATATCTCTTAAAAAGCGTTCCAAATGTGTACATGAAGGATCATGGACTAAACTGCAGGAGCAGACATTTCTTAATCTCCCTCAAAAATCCTAAGAAGCTGAAAGAAAAGTACATTTGAATTTCATTTCATTTATTTATTCAGGTCACCTGGGCTAAGTTATTTATCTCTGGGCCTCAATTACTTCACCTATAAAATGAGGATAATTATAATACCTAGACCATATGAAGCATTTAACAAAATACTGGGCACATGATGAGTACTTGGTAAAATCAGCTTCTCCTATTTTTTTTGTTATTTTCCTTTCCTGTGTCACTTCTCAGGTTTTACACTAAAGCTCAGAAAAAGGAATATTAGTATTTAGAAAAAGGAGAAGGGAAACAAATAATTTGAACTAATATATGATCAGCTCTTTAGTAATCTAGTACGACTTTTCAATTTCCCTTCATTTTTAAAGTGTTTACATTTAGTGTGTTTTCCTTTTTCTGCAAATTAACATTTGAGCATGTTTTTATTAAAAATCTATGAAATTCAAAAAAGTACAAGGAAAAATATAAAAGCAGTAGTAATCCTACCACCTAGTGATAACGGTTGCTAATATTACATGGAATGTATATTATATGTACTTAACACTATATCAAGAAAATTATGTCATTTTGTTAATGTTTACTTTTTAGAAGTTTCTTTGCTTTCCAGCTTTCATTTCTAAGAGCACTGATAATTCCTCCTGAGGAAGTACCTTTTTCCCTTGGTGTAGAGTCTGAGGAAACTGTCCATCAAGGGCCTTTCCCTTTTCTTGTCACGATACAGGCCCAAGAACTAAACAAAGCACTGGATTCTCTTTCCATTGAGTTTTAGCAGACTGACAAAGTGGCACATGGTCGAGTGTACCAGTGGTGATGTTCAGACCAGGTGTTCCTACTAAGGTATCATTCCTATCATTCTAATGGCTAGCCCTCAACAACTGCATGGTTCTTCAGCTTTCCCACTTAAGATACCAATATCTTTCCAACAAACTCTATTTTGTGTAATTTAGTCACAGTTTCTGTTACCTTCTGCCATAAACTTCACTTATAGAGAAATTAATACCAGAAAATGGATTACTAGTAATAGGTATGGAATGAAACTTCTCTTCGTATTCTGGAAAATATATTTAACAGCCTGCGAAACTTTATGACAAAACAGCTAATTAGGCTATTTGTGCAGTCACTATGAAGATTTTCTTTGGCCAGTCACTGGGAAATTGGTTGACCACTACTACGTAAAAAGATTAAATTTAGAAGGCATTGTGGGGTGTCATGGTAGAGTGGGTGCTGCTGATAACATTGGGTAACTGGAAGCCAAGAAGCTCACAACCTAAATTCTTATTTCAACGTATAGACTGGATCTCATTATTTCGGAGACTATGCAACAAGACTCCTTTAACTCGAGTAGCCCCAGCATTGAGATAATTAAAAAGCATTCTGAGATTGAGCCTGTGGGTTCCAGAGTTACAACATTTATTGAATTAAAAACCATGTCTAGTCTCTTATGTGAAAGCTATTGATTGATAAAAAGTAGGGTGGGATCCTAACAATTGGGAAAATTGGGAGTATTCGGAGTTTTAGTGGCACCCTAAGTTTTCAAACACCTCTGAAACATCCCACACATACATACATTGAGTCTTCCTTGGTCAAAGGAGCAATTCCTCTGAATGGCCGTGGCAATACTTCTTTCCTCACTTCTTCCTCCCCTCCCTCATTTGCAGAAAGTTCCGTTTGGGGGAACCTGGGCTGATAAAGCATCCCTACAGATGCTACCATAAGCACAGAGGTAGTGAAAAGAGAACATGATAAACTACAGACTGACTCTTAAATCTGCTCAGAAGTAACAAGCTTCACTTCTGTTCATACTTCATTGGTCAAAATCAGTCACATGTCTGTGCCTGAGATCAACAGAGTGTGAATAAGGAATAACTCTTCCATAAGGGGGAGACTCAAACATCAAATATTTATTTAAAAAAATACACTCCACGAGCCCCTTTCACCTGGTATCCTCAAACATCAAATATTTATTAAAAAAATACACTCCACGAGCCCCTTTCGCCTAGTATACACCTTTTGATCTAGCAAATGCTCCCCCCCCCCCCGCTTTCTTATCATCAGAAAGCACCAGAAGTTTACTTTCATCTGACAGGAACAGCAGTATAGCTTACCTTCCCAACTCATGGATGAGTTGTCTCTGGATATCTGTGCCAAGATGCACTCACTATCTCATAGCACATCACACTTTTACACTAGATGGGTGAAATCATGCTGATAGCATGTAGAAAACTATAGCAGGGACATTAGCACCCTGTTGAAACACACGTTTTTTTATTGGAAGTAAGATAGGAAAAAAAATGAGAAAACACTAACATCTACCACCTCTGTGAAAAGCATGAGGGTCCTGAGGTCTACGGCATATTGGAATTAATATCCCTTCTAAAGTGAAGGCCCAGGAGGTTTACTTCCCACTCCTGACCTCTAAGAAGGCACACCCCTTAGCTGCTGTCTTTGGATTTGGTTGGCAGCACGTGGGAGTTTGGTGTGCTGCCTAACACAATTTGTCAAGGAGGGCTTAAAAGATCTGCTATCTTTGAGTGGAAACTAATAAAGACAGGTCGCTCTAGCTGTTTCAGGGCTTCTGTGCAAGTGATTACAGTAATTGGCCCTTTAGGGCTGAGTAAAAACAATGATAAATGGGATTTGGGTGGTGGTTTAAGACACTGTATGAAGCTTATAGTAAGCCCCATTAGGTGAATCACAGAAGAAATATCTAGGGTTTGGGAGTAAAGACCTATCATCATTGGGTAAGTAATTATTGGTGTGACACATCTCTTGTCTTACTTCTGAGCTCTGTTGGATTCTAAACTATGGAGCATGATTCAAGTTGACAATAATAAGGGAACTTCATGTTATCTGATCCAACCATTTGGAGAGTGTCTTCTAACTACCATGGACAGTGGTAAAGTTATTGAAACCTCAATTCGATGTGGGAAGAATCAGCAAGGACTAAGTTCCCTTGTAAAGTAAGATTTGTATTACTTTACCTGGCAAAGAATTTGGCCAATTGAGATGCCAGCTGAATATCAGGTGAATATAGAGTGAGTAACAGATAGGCCAGCTGCAGAAACAAGAAATGTAGTCTCCACAAAAATTTTTTTTCTTGATTTTTTAATTGTGATATATATTTTAATTAATTAATCTCCCCTTTCCCTTGTACTTCTACTCTTTTATATTGGTACTGTTTGTGGTGATTAAAGTTAGTGGTATTTCAGAGTTTCACAATATTTAAATGAAATACTGACAGAGCAAAAGGAAGAGGGAATAACAATGAAGGGAGTTCAGACTTTTTTCCAGATTTGAAAAATGGAGAAATATTAGGTTTTCTCTACTCTTAGAAGTAGATTTGTTTTCAAGGATAATCTATATACAGAAAAAATGTATGAGTATACAAATTGATGAAGTTTTACAAACTACACAAAATGTAAAACCAGCACCCAGATCAAGAAACATATTATGACCAGAAACCTAGAAGCTTCTTGTGACTTCTAGAAAGATTGAGTTTATTCATGGTTATAAAAGAGTAATCAGATTATGTTAGATTTAGGGGCATTTCTAGAACACTACCTAAGCCAGAAGAGTTGGATTCTCCCTCCTTCAAATTTGAATCTTGATTCAAATGACAATGACAATGAAAATGGTTAAGGTTCATTCATTTCATCTGGCAGCACCATAGCCAGACTATTCAGTTGTGTGCCCACCTCCCAGTTTCTGTGTCCCAGCCTTCCCACCCCACCTTGGTTACCCCACAATTTTTGATCTGCCGATATCCTTCCAATAAACTCCATTTTGCATGTTATTGTAGTCAGAATTTGGTTTCTCTTGCTTGCAACAAAAACTTTAAATGATACATGTCATTAGCTTCATTACAATCAGATTAGTATATTATTCGCTCCCTTCCTCTGTTTCTTTTTTCCTTCTTTCCTTCCTATCTTTGTTTATATACAATTCTGTCACAAATTTTGTAACACGTATCTTTTTGCATATTTATGATGTTTAGTAGAAATTTTTAGAATTAGAAGTGCTGAGTAAATGAGTGTATATATTTTAAACATTTTTTTTTTAATTTTTTGTTTATTGCAGTAACATTGGTTTATAACATTGTAAAAATTTCAGGTGTACATCATTGTACTTCTATTTCT